TATATAAGAAATGCAGGTTGTAAAGGTCCCTGGCGAATGATCGACTTGCGAATTAAATATAAAGGTGCTTATGGAAAGGAATCTAGTTTGAAACTCACGTATTTTTGAGCTCGATTGGATAGCTTTCAGATCGCTGGCGCGTTCGCCACTGGGCTACTACCCTCCGGGTTTGTACTTCCATTTAATTGTTTTCTAACAACCCATTCCCTCTCCGAACCTCCACGCACATATGTATCTAATGAGTTTTTATAGCAAAAGATATAAATTTGCTGTTGATTTTTGTATGAATTTTTCACAAAAAGATCCTGCACAAGCATTGTTTTGTGAATTTTACATTTTTCCTCACCATTTGGCAGTTTTCTGAACGGGAACGACGTCGAAGCCTTTATTCTTTCTAAGTTCTTGCTTTTTCCTTTTCTTTCTCTTTGTTTAACTTTTCAAGGATGTGTTTTTTTTTATTGTTATTATTATTTTCTTTCTCTTTGTTTTTGTGCGGCAAGGAGCTTTCCGCGGGCGCACGGGGCTGTTGCGTCCGAGTTTGTTTTCAGAGTGAGCGTCGCGTGAAAAGAGGGGTCAAGGGCCTTGTGCATCACGACGCCATGGTTGTGTCTTCCCTGAGTTCTGTCGACGTAAAACCAGAGGGCCCTCTGACCTTTCACCTTGTAGCATGGCGGGGTGGCACCGCGGCCAGCGTGGGCTCACACGGGGCGTTTCGATCCTGCAGCTGGAAGGCTGTGGCACACCGTGGGCAGTCAGCATCCGTGAGTCTCACCTTAAACACCTCTGACCACATAGAACTTTAACATGGGTTTTCCAAAGACCTTTTAAGCATGTCAGCAATGCATGGAGCCGGAGTGCGACGGTCACCCGGTCTAGGTTTTTCCGCTGCAGCCACACAGCCGAGGCCCCGTCTGGGAGCCCCTGGCCCGGCGACCTGGAGGGACAGCACGACCCCCAGCCAGGACAGCCGTCCTGCTCTCCTTCCCTTTGACGGAAGCTGGCAGGGCTGTTTTTTACTGTAACTTATTTTCCAGCACCTAAAGCCACCGATTTTACTCCAAAGTAGATTGAGACGTGTGGGAGCACGGTCAGGTGTTCACAGAAGGGCACCCAGCACGTGGCGGGTTTGGTGACGTTTACAGGGTAGTTTCCGACAGAGACATTGACTCGCCAGGTGAATGCAGACTCTCGGGCGCTCCCGGTCCTCAGGACGCTGTGGGTCAGATGCAGGACAGCGCTTACAGCCGAGGGGAGGGTCTAGAACGTGTTTGACTTTCTCCCAGCGCTGGCTGCCCCGGCTCTGAAGGCTGCTCGCCCGTCCCAGCCGTGCTCAGGGTGGCACTAGGGCCCCATTCTGTGCCGGGTCTCGGGCCGCCGCCCCCACCCCTCCTCCGGCCAGCAGGGGCTCGGGAGACACTGTCTCCTGTTTCTTGCGGATGACCACTCTGGGGCGGACTCGGGCAGTGGCCGGCAGCCGTGTTTTCTGTGTCACCCACTCCAGCTCCTCAAAGCCTGCTTGAAGCATTACCATGTAGCCTTTTTTTCTTTTGAAGACACACTTGCCCATCCCCGGCCGGCCGCGCCCGGCGGGTGTGGAGGGTCCGCCTGGCATCTGCCATCAGGACCAGCGCAGTGGGGGGAGGGGCACAGTCTCCCTCCCGGGTCCTGGTACCTGGGACCCTCAGCCTTTTACTTCCTTTGCAAAGGCCTTCGGGCACAAAGAGCCTTCAGGGCACTGGCCCAGGGAGTCAGCGAGCGAGCACTTTATACCCCCCCGAGGGACACGCCCGACCCACCCTGCGGCCGCCCGGCCCCCCAGGGCTCCGGTTTGGAAGGGCCACTTTGTCAAAGTGTTTCAGTTTTCTTCCTTTTTTTTTAAAAGTCTGTTTCAAGAGGAGGGACCGTTTCCCAGCGGCCCATCACAAAAGCAAGCTGATTTTTTCAGCAGTAGCCGCGGAGTTTCTCGTTGTTACTTTTGATCGGAACATTCCTTTTTTATTAGTCACAGTCACGCCCTCATCCCTTCTTCCTTTTGTAGACTTTTGGGCCCACATGTTTTCTGGGCGTTGATATATATATAAATATCTATACATAAATATATATGAATATATTTTTTTAAGTTTCCTATACCTGGAGTTTGCATGGACTAGGGCCGGCATGTCTTTATATTGTATACAGATTTTGCACGCCAAACTTGGCAGCTTTGGGGAAAGAAAAAAAAAAATGCCTTCTTTTTCCCCTCTCATGACATTTGCGGATACAAAAGATGGAACCGTTTCTGTAAAACAAAACCTTGAAGGAGAGTGGGGGGGAGTTTGCGTCTTATTGAACTTATTCTTAAGAAATTGTACTTTTTATTGTAAGAAAAATAAAAAGGACTACTTAAACCTTTGTCATATTAAGAAAAAGTTTATCTAGCACTTGTGACCTACCAGTAATAGAGTTTATTGTATTTATGTGGAAACAGTGTTTTGGGGACGCTGCGCAGAACTCAGCGTGAGCTGCCTGTCTCTCTGAAGTTAACCTGGAGGAACTCTGTTTTGTTTCGTTTTGTTTTTTTTATTTCCTTCCCAGGGGCAAGCGGCCCGGCCGAGGCGCGGGCAGGCTCGGGGAGCCCCTTCCCGCACAGCGGCGTTGACTTTTTAATTACTTTTTGATCATGTTTGGCTAAGATTTCACTTTAACTGCGCAGTCCTGGACTGTGTGAGCACTGTGGTTGAAAATACTCTGCATCGAAAGGAAACCATTTCTTCACTGTATCGGGCGGGTGCCTCCGCGCACCGTCCTCTCTCTGGCGTTGATTAAAAGTCTCTTGTTGAAAGAAATGGAAACGGAACCTTCTTTTGTTTGGCTGCCTGGTCTTTTGGTGTGTGTCCCCCACCGTGGAGGCGCTGTGCCCCGGGTGTGAGTATGACAAACGTGTATATAATACGTATATACAGGCGTATCTCGGGGATCCTGCATGTTAGGTTCCAGTATCACAATAGAGCGAGTCACAGGAATTTTTTTGGTTCCTCAGTGCATAGAAGAGTTATGTTTGCACTACGCTGTAGCCTACTAAGTGTGCAATAGCATTATGACTAGAAAAACAGTGTACACACCTCAATTAAAAAATACTTTATTGCTAAAAAGATGCTAACCATCATCTGAGCTTTCAGTGAGTTGGCACCTTTCTGCTGGTGGAGGGTCTTGCCTCCATCTTGATGGTTGCCGACTGATCAGGCTGGTGGTTGCTGAAGGCTGAGGTGGCTGTGAGAATTTCTTAAAATAAGACAACAATGAAGTTTGCCGCATCAATCGACTCTTCCTTTCACGAAAGATTTCTCTGTAGCATGTGATGCTGTTTGATAGCATTTTACCCACAGGAGAACTTCTTTCAAAATTGGAGTCAGTCCTCTCAAACCCTGCCACTGCTTTATCAACTGAGTTTCTGTAATATTCTAAATCCTTTGTTGTCATTTCAACAATGTTCACCACATCTTCACCAGGAGGAGATTCCATCTCAAGAAACCACTTTCTTTGTTCATCCATAAGAAGCAACTCCTCATCTGTTAAAGTTTTATCATGAGATTGTGGCAATTCAATCACATCTTCAGACTCCACTTCTAGCTCTCTTGCCATGTCCACCCCATCTGCATTTACTTCCTCCACTGAAGTCTTGAACCCCCCAAAGTCATCCATGAGGGTTCGAATCAACTTCTTCCAAACTCCTGTTGATGTTGGTATTTTGAGCTCCTCCCATGAATCACGAATGTTCTTAGTGGCATCTAGAATGGTGACTCCTTTCCAGAAGGTTTTCAATTGACTTTGCCCAGATCCGTCAGAGGAACCACTATCTATGGCAGCTATAGCCTCACGAAATGTATTTCTTAAATAATAAAGACTTGAAAGTCCAAATGACTCCTTGATCCACGGCTGCAGAATGGATGTGTTAACAGGCATGAAAACAACATTAATCTTGTACATCTTCATCCGAGCTCACCAGGTGCATTGTCAACGAGCAGTCATATTTTGGATCTTTTTTTCTGAGCAGTATATCTCAACAGTGGGCTTAAAATATTCAGTAAACCATGTAAACAGACAAGCTGTCATCCAGGCTTTGTTGTTCCATTTATAGAGCACAGGCAGGGTGGATTTAGTATCATTCTTAAGGGCCTTAGGATTTTCCAAATGGTAAATGAGCATTGGCTTCAACTTAAAGTCACCAGCTGCAGTAGCCCCAAACAAGAGAGTCAGCCTGTCCTTTGAAGCTTTGAAGCCAGGCATTGACTTCTCTCCAGCTGTAAAGTCCTAGATGGCGTCATCTTCCAATATAAGGCTGTTTTGTCTACATTGAAAATCTGTTGTTTCGTGCAGCCACCGTCATCAATAATCTTAGCTAGATCTTCTGGATAACTTCCTGCAGCTTCTGCATCAGCACTTGCTGCTCCGCCTTGCACTTTTACATTACGGAGACGGCTTCTTTGCTTAAACCTCATGAACCCACCTCTGCTAGCTTCAGACTTTTCTTCTGCAGCTTCCTCCCCTCTCTCAGCCTTCAGAGAGTTGAAGAGAGTTAGGGCCTTGCTCTGGATTAGGCTTTGGTTTAAGGGAACATCATGGCTGGTTTGATCTTCTATCCAGACCACTAAAACTTTCTCCATGTCAGCAGTAAGACTGTTTCACTTACCTTCACTGGTTCACCAGAGTAGCACTTTTAACTTCCTTCAAGAACTTGTCCTCGTCCTTGTTTGGCGCAAGAGGCCTAGCTTTCGGCCTATCCCAGCTTTTAGCCTAACCAAGCTTTCGACATGCCTTCCTCACTAAGCTCAATCATTTCTAGCTTTTGATTTGAAGTGAGAGA